TTTACTTTTTTTTTTTCTTTTATCAGTGAAACCTCTGTATTTAAACTCATTACTGCATCAATAAAAATGCATTCAACAAGTTTTTAACCTTAATAAGCTATTAGAGCTTGAGATAGTAGTTTGATTCTCTGCAATTGAAATTTCCCAATCTATAGTGATTTCTGCATGTTAGAGTATGATAATTATTGATCCACATCCCAGCTTAAGCTTTTAGTAAAAATAGTGAACCTACAAAACTTGACAGTGGTCATGCTAAATATCATCTTCGTACAACCGTTAAATTAATCTTGTGTTCTCTATGAAGTTTGAAGAGGTTTCTTCACAGCAAGGCCGATGCTTTTCTTTCAAATGACTACTATGACTCAGATATAGCCTGGATGGAGTTGGTTAGTACAGTATTTAAATATACCGTTTACAATCATAAATTAAATGGTGTTGATACACAGTTATAACTATAGTTACTATTTGTTTCTAGAGAGAATTTTACCACGAGCTGGTTTATTAATATGTTGATGTTTTATTGTGGTTATCAATATGTTGAAGTTGCTATTAATCAAACGGCTTGATCCTTTAATTGATTTTTATGTAATTTACAAACTAGAATATCTTGTTTTCTAAAGTTGCATGGCCTGATCCAATCCATGTCCATCCCTCTGCTGTACAATGGGGTTATATTATATATGAATATGGAATCCCCTATTGTATAGCCCATTGACAGCCTCTCTCTCTCTCTCTCTCTCTCTCTCTCTCTGTCTTTATTTTTTTGATTTTTGATTTTTTAAATAATGACTACAGTAATTTTTGTTAACTAAACTAAACAGCAATACAACTGTGAACCAGCAGTCCACTGAAGATACAATCAAACTGACAGCAAAATTTCTGCACTATATCTTTAATTTATGGACATCAAAACCACAGTGATGCCCAAATTTTGACTCTACCCCACTAGAGATACATTTCTTCCTCACACTTGGTTTCACATATTCTACCATTCTTAGCCACCAAAATGGCCCACAAAATTGTCAACAGACTACAATTTCACAAACTTGTTTCCCATCACCAAAAGCACAATGTTTCTCCACTAGTGAATGTGAAATCACCCAACTCGACCTCATTTTTCAGAACTACCTGTACTACAGTGTCAAGCAAATGAGACGGTGAAATGAATACTTTTAGTAGCCTCGTTGCACATGTTACACCAATAAGGTCATAAGTTGACATTAGACCTCCGAATCATCGAGATGGGGTTAAAAATATGAAGAGATGATTCACCAACCAGCTTGCTGAAATAGGATTACACATGCAAAAAACAAAAAACAAAAAAGTTGCAAGCTGATTCCATTATCCACCTGCTGTATAATCTCTATCATATGACATTTGTACTCAAAGAAAGTGGGGTAGAACACTCACCAACTTCAAGATCATTCCAAGCTGATTCCATTATCCACCTTCTGTATAATCTCTATCATATGACATTTGTACTCAAAGAAAGTAGGGTAGAACACTAACCAACTTCAAGATCATTCAATTTTTACAAAATTGAAATTCCAACACATTGCAATTGGAGAGGAGACCTAAACTAGATGCTAATGGACATGTTATGTGACAACGAAAGCCTATGATGTAATATAAATTTTTTCGTATATTCAGTGGACATCATTCACACTGTCTGTACTCTGTGCACATAGTTTCTCATAAAAAGTTACAAACAAAAAAAGGAGCCTAGTCATGGCTCTCTTTTACTTGTTAATTTAGCAGTATGTTTACTATAAAAAATGAATAGTTGTATACATTTATCTTAAAAGGAAATGACCTTATAAAAAATTGCACTTAATTACAGAAACTTTTGTTCTTGAACTTCAATTCTCTAAAATGGCATCAAGTTCATTTGTATAACGTGAATTTGTACCCCATGAAGTATGGGAGCTTTCTTGTTTTCCTCTTGAAATTTTATTATTTTCTGTAAAGTCTTAAGAGCATTAAACTGTTGATCTAGCCTTTATTTTTGTCTGCTGTTCTGCTGTAGGACTCAAAGCTGGATGTTACTATTGGTCCATATGAAACATATGAAGATGCTCTTTTTGGATATAAGGTATTTTTATATGGAGCACCCTTATTTTATGCTTCTGCATTCATGACCTTGTAGTTTAAAATTGGGAACTTAGGTGTAACATACTGCATATACAATGATATTTATAGCAAATTTCTTCCTTTTTAAAAGTTAATAATTTTTATATTTCTTGCATTTTGGTGTTTATTGTCTAAAAGGACCTACTTGAGAATTCATGTGATAGCATGGTAGTAAGTTTTCTGCCTTTAGATGTAATTGAACTGCGTTTCATCTTAGGCTACATTTGAAGCATTTATTGGAGTTCGGGATGACAAAGCAACAGCTCAATTAAAACTTTTTGGTGATAATTTGCAGGTACTATTGTACAATCATTTTCTACCAGAGATTTAATAGCTTACCAAAAAAGAATTATCCTGACAAACTTTGTTATCCCTTCTAACTGTCAGTTACTATTATTGTTTGTTTATAAGGTTCTGGAGCAAAATCTCCCACTGGACAATGTGTACAAGTCTAAAGATGTGATTTCTGCTCCTATTCGAGTCATCGATCTTCTTTATAATGCAGGAGTAAGTTTAGACTCTAGAAAATCTTTCAAGATGATTTTATTTTATGGCCACTCGCAACTTATTTATTAGAAGCATTATGGTTTGCCCTGCTTCTAGTGCTAACGTAAAAAACAAAAATAAAAAATCCTTTTGCTGAAGTGCTCTCTCTCTCTGTCTCTGTCTCTCTCTCTCTCTCTCTCTCTCTCTCTCTCTCTGTGACATCGAGTGACGAGCAGTATACTCAGCAAGATAATAGTCAGTGAAAAATAAGAATAGTATTAGAATGGAGAAATGTAAAATAAATGCATCTTCAGGTTTAGGTTTGAGGTTGACATAAATTTACCTATCACAAATAAATCTATTAAGTGTCATGGGTTTGGTAAAATATTTTTGTCCTTAATTGTATGGTGTCCATTGAGGTCAGAGTCCTCCACTTCTGTGTTTATTGTAAATGCAACTTTAACTGGTTGGTGAAGTGACGTTGACAACTTCAAGTTTTACCTCAGGATGTAAAGGGTCCTCAAACTGTTGCTTTTAATCTACCAAATGACGAGCGTATAGTAAAAGATCGAGGAACATCAATGGTCATGCTGAAGAATATCTCAGAGGCTAAGTAAAAATTTCCTTCATTTTTATGTTTGTCGTGTACTTAGATAAATATCAATTATTGCTTTTCGAAATTTTTATCTGTTGTGTTGGGAAGGTAATGTCAGAACTGCCTATGCTAAACCAGGTTCAAGCACATTCTTCAGCCTATAGCCGATGCTTGTATTACAAAGGAACAACAAGAACTTGTAGATTTTGAATCTTTCTTTACCCACACAATTTGCCATGAGTGCTGCCATGGGATTGGACCTCATAGCATAACACTTCCAAATGGTAGAAAGTCTACAGTGAGATTGGTCAGTGACCTAACTCTCTAAGTTATGTTGTTTCCTTGTTCACTATAATTTGTTTTGACAACCTTTGTTGGATTGCATTGCTGCTTATGGTAATCTAAACTTTTGTTCCAAACTAAGGTTCAACATATCTAACAGAACAGGAGAGTTAATAAAATTTTATTGTCAGGGAAATTTTCTTTTAGGTAAATCAAACAATGTCGGTTGATAGCTCATTTGGAGGCTTCCAAACAAAGATTAAACACTCCATCCGTCAATAATAGATTCTTTCCATCAATGTGAGCATCTAAGTTTTGTTAGGTTTACTTACATGTTCAATATTATGAGAGTAAAAAAGTGTGAATAAGTGAGGGTTTGTGGAAGGTGATGAGGTTTCTAGGCATATGTGTTGCAGCTGTTGGGTCTAGTGAGAACATCTGTTTTTCTTTTAAATGCTTTTTGTCCTTAATGGTAATTTCATATTGGGGTAAAATGGGCAATTCACATTTCACATAAGAGTTGGGTCTCAAAAGAAAATTGTTGGGTCCCATTAAAATTTCCCTTAATGTTATAGTAATTGTTTCTGGTGAATGACCAGCAGAACGAACAAAATCAAACAGCAGGCGTGTTCAAGATAGCCATATGAACAACAGAATTATCCCTTCTATGTTACATGATTACAGCAGACAACATAAACATATTTTCAAGACAGCCACATGAACAACAGAATTATCCCTTCTATGTTACATGATTACAGCAGACAACATAAACATATTTTCTAAAAAAAAGAAAAAAGTTTCTGGTGAATGCACTTATCAAAATTTGAGGTTGAATTTCATAGCTCTACCTACCTATCCTTATTGCAGGCAGACAAGATAAACATATTTAAAAATTAAAGTGTTACAGGAAGCAACACTTTGTTAAAGTCCCAGTTAGTATCTTTACTGGCCAAAAGGAATTGTCAGGAAAACTTGGGTGCCAAACTAAGTGTCAGCCTATTTACCAAGAAACTGGTGCAAGTGTCTGTTAAAGTGAAATATATATTATATATATGTCATAATGAAGATTCTTTGGATAGTTGTTTCCTACTTGTATGTTGAGGTAAAATTTTGTTTCCTATTGTGATAGGGTTGTGAACTTATTATGAATATATTTGTTATTTTCTCCCTATTTTTCTGAACATAGATATCAAAGCATTGGTTCTGAGACCTAGTGATTTAGATAAAAATCATTCCTCCTACCAGATGGCTTGCCGTCAAGTCATTTGGTTGACTTCACTATATTATATATATAATATATATGATTTGTTTCCACATTACTGTCCAGAGTTCTCTCTAATCACTTTTAGAAACTGTTAGACATCTGGTTGTTATTCTTTCATCTTTGACATCTGTCACTGGGTATTGGTGTCTATAAATTCTGTTGTGTTTCCGGTCTTGGTCCTGGAAAATCTCGTTTGCCCATATGATCAAAACATATTGTTGTTGACGTTTAGTAGTAACCATCCTTGTGTCCTTCGTATGGTTGCGTAAGGATGTTTTGGGTGCTCCTTACTAGACAGTTATTGAAGTTTAGTTTTGTTCTTGAGTTTGGTGTTGAAGTGCAGTTTGTTTAAACATGTATGCCCCCTTTTAAGCTTTTGGTGTTGAAGTGCAGTTTGTTTAAACATGTATGCCCCCTTTTAAGCTGAAAAGTGTTACAGTTGGTTGTTGCAGTGGGGCAGGTAATGCCCACCATAGTTTTTATGAAGACAAGTGGTGTCTTTGTATTGTGGAGGCATATCATAGTATCTAGCTCTGAGGACTGCATTGTTGAAGTGTTGAGGCACATCATGTCATCCTGTATGTAGGCATATGATGCCTAGGCTGTTAATGTGGGCAATGATATTTCTAGTCATTCTTCATTTCTAGTCATTCTTCAAATGGAGCATCTGTTGTAAAATAATTTAGAAGTTTTAGCTCAAATTTTGTGAAAAATGAATCCACATCGGTGAATCGTGTAGTATTCTTTTTAGGAAGATTCCCGATGATTACATGTGATACTCAAGGTAGTTGATATATCCCTAGGAACCTTAGTTGCATGTTCTGTTATTTGCAGTTTTAGATGTCTAAATTTCTCCAACTGATGGAGGGTTTGTTAGCTATGAAGCATTTATTAGATGGTCTGTATTTTATTAAGAAAAGGTATTCCAACAATTTATGTCCAATTTATTGACGATTATAGTCAAATTCTTGTTCTTAGTATGCTTCTAATGTCATTTACGACATGTTAAGAAAAAGCAATTATAGAAGTCATTTTTTGAAGGTTAACTACCTCAAGTGTGCACTATTTTCTTAATGCCGACTCTGGTTTGCCTTGTGTCTCTTTCATCTTCTGATAAAGGAACTGCAAGAACTCCACTCCGCTCTGGAAGAAGCAAAAGCTGATATAGTTGGCCTTTGGGCGTTGAAATTCCTAATCCACAAGGTGCGTGGCCATATATTTTCTTGACCGTGCTTTACATCACTTTATCACTTTAGTGGGATGGTTTGTTTTACACATTTTCTAACGCATTTGCATCTTTCTTTTTTTGGTCAATTATGTTATTATCAAGAGATGACAGTGGACCTCTTGTTCCCCGAGTCTTTGAATACCTTGTATTTTCATTTT